GTGGCTTGCATCGGGAAGTTGATGGTACAGTCGTTCGTGAGTGGAGCAGCCCTGAAGTCCCCACGCAGCTGGCAGGCAGGGCTGTTCTCCCTCCTCAGCAGCACCCCAGGTGGGGGCCTCCCCAGCTTTGCCCCAGTGTGGGGCAGCTGAGTTTAAGGGAGGCTAGTGGCAGACACTTTGACACACTGCAGGTGCTTAGCAATGGTAACTGGGTTTCGGTGGGCAAGGCGTCGGCGGGCAAGGCATCGGCGGGCAAGGCGCTGGCGAACAAGGTGTCGGCGGGTAAATCGCTGGCCGGCATTTCCAGCTCTGCGTGAAGCCTGCTGCCCGCACAACCTTGCAAGCTCCGGTGACTCTTAGCGGACTGAGCCGCAGCCCAGGCAGTGAGGGCCCCGGGAGCCAGGGACGCCTCTGCCCTCTACTTCAGGGCTTTGGTGCTTTCAGAAATGCCTTCAAGGGGACTCTTTCGTGATGAGAAGATCCAAGGCCCAACACGCACTCTCCAGCCCCTGAGACCCCAATGCCCCGAGGGCAGCAGTGACGGGTGTTTCTTTCTGTTTTCTGTTTGTCCGCATTTCCAGCATCTTCTGAAGGTTGAGAATCTTTTCTTAACCAGGAGGAAAAACCCTTTAAAGGAGTAACCGTATAACAAGGGATAATTGTGCAGGGCTCTCAGGGAAAGAGCTGAGGCCCCGGGAACAGGCTGATCAAGCAGCCCGGCCTGGCCTGAGGAGGACTCTGCGGCCTGGGAAGCCCCTGCCCGTGGCGCCTGGGGGCAACTCTGGTGTCCATGGGTGATGTTGTACGTTGGCTCCCTGAGAGGGGTGGTTCATGCCTGTCCCTACCTCCTGTGTCCCCACATGGAGAGCAAAGTGTGACCCCTGCATGAAGAGAAGCAGGCACAGGGTGAGGGGAGGCTCGGGGCATGCGGGAGCCCATTTCAGTCAAAAACGCACTTCTGGGGGTGGTGAGTCCAAGGGTCGGTAAAGTCACCCAGACAGTTCTGAACATCCCGGTACTCCCTGCAGGGCTCTCCCAGAGAACCAAAGCCAGGGAGGCGAGGGGTGGGCCCCCAACTTCCCGCAAAGAACCTCGGGGAAGAACACCTGAGCACCTGTCTGGACACACCAAGGCTGTGGCGAGGAAACCCAGAGCGGATGTGTGTTCTTAACAGAACCGACGACATTCAAATATAGGAGTGCTCACTGCTTGGAGTGTGTGTCGGGTGGGGGGCCCACTCAACCTGCCTGGCAGGAAGCTGCCCTGAGGTCCCGGAAGACCACAGTGGACCCTGAGGGGACTGACTCTGCCGTGGGCAGTGGTGCACCCTGGTTTCCAGGAGGAGCGACTCTGCCCAAGCACTGGGAATGCGTGGCAGGCGCCTGGCGGGTCAGGGTGGAGATGGCCTCCCCTGCTTAGGGGTCTGCCCCAGGACGCAGGCTGGTGCTTACCTCCTCCATAGGTCTGGCACAGGTATGGGAACCGCCAAATGTTCCCCAGCCCCACAGCAAACCCGATGCAGCTCAGGAAGTACTGGGCCTTGTTGTCCCACTTGGGCCTCTCCTCCCCGAGGTCGCTGGCGGCCGGGTCTGGTTCTGGGGCATGAGCCATGGCCACTGAATGCCCCAGGCTGCAGGGCAAGGGTGGTGCCTCACTCCACACCCAGCACCAGAGAGCCGTCTCCAGCGTCTGCCGGCGTTTGGAAGCCACAAGCAGCCCCCCTGCAGTTTTCTTTTTTCATTTCTTTAAAGGAAAACCAGTGGAGCGTCGTTAATGGGTAACTTGGGCCCAGGCCCTGGCTCCGACGCTGGGCTCCTTCCCTGGCACCCACGTCCTCTGCTCCTTCTCTCATGCTCTGTGTTCCAGGCAAATGCCAGGCCTGGCACCACCCCCAGCACCATGAGGACCGTTTGCAAGGACAGCCTCATGATTTTTATTGTGGACACCAGGACTCCCAAGACTGAGGCATATTTTAATTGTTTTAAATTTCTTCTTATGTTTTATTTAACCTTTTGATCTTGAGATACTTGTAGATTTTCACTCCGTCACTGTCAGAAACAGCTCAGATCAGATTGCACGCACCCAAAGCCCGGATTCACGCAGGGATCCTCTCGGCCGCTCTTGGGAGGCCGGGGGCTGCCCTCACACCCACTGCTGCCCTCGGGCCACTGGGCAGGACGGGGTGACAGGTACCCACTGTGCATGGGGGCAGGGGGCTGAGGGGTCAGTCCTCCCCTGTGCTCGGGGCACCCCCGCCCGTGGGGGGAGGGTTGATGAGTTGACACTGGGTGAGTTCAGCTCTAAGGAGCTCCCCACAGTGCTCCCTGGACTCTGGAGCTCCTCCCTGCAGATGCTCCTGCCAGGGACAGGCCAAGGGCTCCCAGGCACGCAATTTCCCAGTTCCACCAGACACTGCGCCCTTCAACCGTGTGGCCACAACTCCAGATCCATGAGTCCCAGGGCAGGGGACCAGGTGGACACATTTCTGGAAGGTTCTTATTTGAGTGAGAGGAAGTGTGAGGAGAGAAGATGAGAAGAGCTGGTTGGCCTCCGCCGCGAAGCCACGGGCCTGAGCCATGGCCTCCTCAGAGCAAGCCTCCAAAGCCAGACCCCCAGGAGGCAGGAGCTGGACCTGCCGTCCCCACCATCCCCTCTGAGGTCACTGGCTCACTCATCCCTCACGTCTGGACAACAGTAACTTTTAGGGTGAGAATATTAAATAAAAGGGATTTATTTAGAAACGTATACTTTATGCCCACAAAACCTGCATTTCTACCACATTTACAGAGACATTGAAATCTACGAAACAACGCATGAATCAGGAGATGCAGAAGAGATGGGAGCTCCCACTCAGGGTCCTATGGCAGGCACACCAAGGTACACCAATGGACGCCAGGTCACACCAATGCACACCTGTGCACGCCTGGCTGGGCCTCCTAGGCAGGTGCCACAGGGCAGCATATTAATGGGGCACTGATGGGAATTTTCTTGACTGAGGGCCTAAGAGCAGGAAAAGATGAGGTGAGACCCTGTTGAAGTCATCAGCAGGCGAGCCCCTCAGTGGCATCACAGCTGGGGGCAGAGGCCGTGATGTTTCCCCTCCCACCTCTGCTGCTGTGGAGTCTTGCCCATCCCAGGGCCCAGTGACAGTCAGCAGGGGTGGAAGAGGCTGGTAGGAGGACTCAGTGTGTGCGGTCGCCACTGGCTGGACGGGGTGCTGTCAGTGTGTGCGGTCACCGCTGGACGGGGTGCTGGAAGGGACGAGTGTGACCAGGTTTCTGTGAGTGGAACATCACACCAGGACACACCAGGCTTTCAGGCCTGCCCATAGGAATTCTCAGAACATCAGTTTAATGTAAGCATCCAGATTCTTCCATGGAAAGCAGAGGTGACCTGTCCGTTGAAGCAGATGTCCCAAGTGCCAATTGCCTGTGGCTGAGATGAAACGTCAAACCCCAACAGAGGCCCATCCCGTGATAGAGGCAGATCAGGTGCCAGGCTGGGCTTCACTGAGTGGCGCAGGGACTGGAGGCTTCTGGGGGCTGCATGGTCCTTGAAGGTGCCCTGGACACATAGAGTGCCCAAGGATGGTGCCAGGGTCGAGTTACCCTGTAACCCATCTTTTCCAAAGTCTGGCTAAAAATTCACACAGCTCGTGTCCTCTGAAGAAAATGCACAGAGTGGTATTTGCCTTGAATTATGCCAAGCTGAGTTTTATTTAACTGCTCATCTATTTGTGGTGGCAGGAGCAATGATTAAATGGCTGGCATTCATTAAGCCAGGAAACGGCCAGGACGCAGAGACTTGGCAGAGACCGACTGGAGGCACAGCTCCGGACGATGCAGCCAAGTTTTCTCAGAATCGCCAGCAACTGCCCGCTCTGGCTTCTGAGAGGCTGCTCCCGGTCGAGGGCTACAGGGCCCTGGGAACCCCTGGGTCAAAGGTCAACACCAAGGGGAAGGGGATGGGTGGAGGTGGGCAGCAAAAGTCGCTCCCAGGAGCCCAGACAGTAACCTGTGCTTTCGTCTCCTGCCACTCACGGAGAGGAAGCACAGAGGTGCTGCCCCCCACCCCGGCTGCAGCTTCCGCTTCCCCTGGGCATGTGCAGGGTGCAGCACGTCCCCAGTGGTCTGCTCCCCGGGCCTCTGCACACGCACCCCGTGTCTGTGGCAAGGACGGACACAGAGGACGGCTGGGCCCTGAGTGGCAGGCATGTGTCCCATCGACGTGTATGCACACATATCCACACGTGTCTGTATGTGTACATACACACACACAGGCATGCACAGATACACACATGCCTGCATATGCACACACAGGAGCACACGTCACACACTTACACACAACACACACATATACACAGACACACACCCATGTACACATGCTCACATATACACACGTCACACAGGCATACATGCACATATACACCTGTGCACATGTACATGCATGCACACACACGCAGAACACACATACACACAACTGCATGCATGTATATACACTTACAGGTATACATACATGCATGCATGTGGTCACCCATTATACGAGCACATGTGCATGCATGTATACACATGTGTTCACATATATGCACACCACACACAACACAGGCATGCACGTCCATATATACATGCACGCACACATATGGCAGTAAATATGCAGGTACACACGTGCACACATGTATATGAATACACACATGTGCACATTCACACCATGACCATACATGTACGTGCACACATGACACACACCTACACACATGGCACACGCGTGTACAACACACTGTTGCACACATGTATATGCATGCACACATGTGTACGCTCACATGGTGCCCATACATGTAGATGCACACACGACACATATCTGCACACATGGCACATGTGTATAAAATACAAATACACACACATGAGCATACATTCACGCTCACACACATGCAGGTGCACCCCAGAGGTCTTGCCGTTTCCTCCTTCCCTGACACCAGTGTGTGGCACGCCGTGGACTCGGCCTTCTCAGTACTTCAGGTCCCCGTTCACGGAGGCTGTGGACAGTGTGCTCACCAGCCCCTGACGGTCCCCTGGCTTCTGGCAGCAGTTCCTGATGAGCTTGTAGATGGCATAGCTGGGGATGGTGAGGCAGGGCACTCCGGTCACAATCACCACCACTGCATACACCCAGTTTGGGTAGGAGATCTTCTGGGATTTGGGAAATTCCTCCTGGGGAGAGAGTCCCATGGGTGAGTAGGCACCTCGGGAGCCAGCGGGGTTCACTTTGGGGCAAAGGTCCCTCGCCCCATGACTCTTACCTCCTGTCCTGTGGGATGGGCAGGGTGGCCTGGGGCTCCTCCAGCTTTCTCTTTCCCCTGCCTCCCAACTCCCAGCCCACCCACCTCCCTCCTGGGATGGCATGACATGCTGGTGTCAGGGAGGGGGGAACCAGCAAGTTGTGTGGGGTGGTGGCTGGACTGCACCTGAGTGTGAGCGTGTGTGCCCATGTATGTTGTGTGTGCATGTGCCATGTGTGTGGATGTGTGTCCTCCTTTCCCCTTTCCTGTTCCTCTCCCCACCCCAGGCGACTGCCTGGGCACTTACGTAGCCAGGATCCCAGATGCTGTAGGTCAGTTCCTCACTGACTTTGACCACAAAGTAGAAGAGGAAGATGGTCAGCATGAGTAGGGGGCTGATCACACGCCACGTGACTTGCCAGAAGATGTTGGGCTTGTGGCCAATCATGAACTCGATGTCCTTATTGAACCTGCCAAGGCCAGAGACAGCTGTCGCTGCTGCTACCAGCTGGGCTTCAACTCGCCAAGCTTCTGTGCGTTCTGCTACCTGAACAGACGGCATCGTGCTGCGAGGTGCCCAGTCTCCCCTCGCCAGGGCCCCATCCCTCACTCCTGCCCATGGGTACCTCCTCAAGCAGAGCCGTCTGTGGGCACGGCCAGCAGCTGTCTCTGCCCTATGACATCACCAGCCAGTGCTTGACGGCAAGCCCATGGTCAGAGGTGCCCCGCCCACACCCACGCCTGAGGTGGTCACCGGTGCAGAATGGGGGGTTGGAGGAGGGAGCGCCGCCAGACACCCGCAGCCTCTCCTTCCTTAGCAGCACCCTGAAGTTGGAAAACCCCACACCTTCCCCACCCTACGGCTCAATTCCCGTCCTCTGCTGAACCCTCTTCTGCACAAAGGAGTTTATTGTCTGCAGAAATCAGGATGGAGCAGGCGGGAGGTTACACCGAAGCTAGTCCCAGGCCTGCAGTGTGCAGGTGAGTACCCTTGGTCCCTGCAGAAGCATGTGAGGAGTAGCTGGTCCCACATGTCCCACATTTAGACAGTTATGCATGCACCTCACACCTGGCAGCACCAGCCTGCAGCTAACCCACACGTCAGGCCTAAACATACTTTGACAATATCTGTGTGATGTTAGAATAGCATGGCCAGCGTGCCGTGTCCCTCAGCCTTCTCCATGGCTCCCCCAGGCTGGTGCGAGCTCTGTCCTCACTCATCCAGTGCTGAAGAGCTTACTGTCCTTGTGTCCTGCAAACCCCACTGCCAGGGACGCAGGACAGGTTTCCCGAGCCAGGAGCCTGCAGGGCTGTGCCTGATCAATGTTAACTGAGTCTGTCCAATTATTTCTTCTTCCACTTCTTCTTCTCCTCCTCCTCCTTCTTCTTCTTCTTCCTTCTTCTTCTTCTTCCTCTTCTTCTTCCTCTTCTTTATTCCTCTTCTTTCTCCTCCTCCTCCTCCTTCTCCTCTTCCTTCTTCTTCCTCTTCTTCTTCTTCCTCTTGTTCTTCTTCTTCTCCTCCTCCTCCTCCTCCTTCTCCTTCTTCTTCTCCTTCTCCTTTTCCTTTTATTTATTTATTTATTTTTTTTGAGATGGAGCCTCACTTGGTCACCCAGGCTGGAGTGCAGTGGTGTGATCTCCCCTCAACATACACCTCCTGGGTTCAAGCCATTCTCCTGCCTCAGCCTCCCGAGTAGCTGGGATTACAGGCAAGCATCACCATGCCTGGCTAATTTTTGTATTATTGGTAGAGATGGGGTTTCACCGTGTTGGCCAGGCTGGTCTCAAACTGCTGACCTCAAGTGATTTGCCCACCTTGGCCTCCCAAAATGCTGGGATGATAGGCGTGAGCCACCGTGCCTGGCCTTGTCCGAGTATTTCTAAAGTTGTGGTGGCTCCGACCAAGAGTCCCTATCTGAGGCTCTACCACACTGCTGGAGCCTGTGTGTCCCTAGAAGGGCCTGGAGCGCCAGGGACATAAGGCAGTCCCCACCCCCCAGCACACACAAGGAGCATCTCTGCCATGGGCCCTGCAGCGGCCTTGAGCATGCAGCTCTGGCTCTCTGCATGGGCACTGCCAAGGTCTGGGCTCCACCGGGCTTCCTGGCTCCCAGCAACACGGAGCTCCCATTATCGGCAGGCCAGGGCCCTGCTGATGCCCTCTGCTGCCGCCAGGAGATGTGTACACCAGCCTCTGTGGCCAGCCGAGGCCCCAGGTCATAGACTCTCCCTCTGTACCCTGAACACAGCCCGGGTCCTCCTCACAGGAATGCCCTATGACCTGGCTTTTCTGCATTAGAGGCACCAGTCCCCACTGTGGCCCCTACCTGTCCACACCGTACATGTAGACCACAGCGAACATCTCGCAGAAGGCAATGGTGAGCAGGGGAATGGAGCCGGCATAGCTGTCCAGCAGGGAGAGCCAGTACTGGCCGGAGTTCAGTGTGAAGATGAAGCCAATGAGGAATGTTCCCAGGCAGATGAGGCCTGCAGGCCGGGTGGACAGAGATGCTGACACCCCCAGGGCTGCACACACGGCCGGGGAACAGAACTGCCCACACACCCAGGGTCTGCACACACGGCTGGGGGACAGAGCTGCCCACACACCCAGGGGCTGCACACACAGCAGGGGAACAGAGCTGCCCACACACCCAGGGGCTGCACACACGGCAGGGGAACAGAGCTGCCCACACACCCAGGGTCTGCACACACGGCTGGGAAACAGAGCTGCCCACACACCCGGGGGCTGCACACACGGCCGGGGGACAGAGCTGCCCACACACCCGGGGTCTGCACACACAGCCGGGGGCTGCACACACGGCCGGGGAACAGAGCTGCCCACACACCCAGGGGCTGCACACATGGCCAGATGACAGAGCTGCCCACACACCCGGGGTCTGCACACATGGCCGGGGGCTGCACACACGGCCGGGGAACAGAGCTGCCCACACACCCGGGGTCTGCACACACGGCCGGGGAACAGAGCTGCCCACACAGCGGGGAACAGAGCTGCCCACACACCCAGGGGCTGCACACACAGCAGGGGAACAGAGCTGCCCACACACCCAGGGTCTGCACACACGGCTGGGAAACAGAGCTGCCCACACACCCGGGGTCTGCACACACGGCTGGGGGACAGAGCTGCCCACACACCCGGGGTCTGCACACACGGCTGGGGGACAGAGCTGCCCACACACCCGGGGTCTGCACACACGGCCGGGGAACAGAGCTGCCCACACACCCAGGGGCTGCACACACGGCCAGGGGACAGAGTTGTTCACACCCCCAGGGGCTGCCACCCCACAGGTGGCACCATTGCCATGGGGACCCCACCCGATTGCACACGCACCTGTGAGCACCTCCTTGGGCCACTTCGGGGGGAAGACTCTGAGGTCCTGCAGGGGCACCATGATGCCCTCCATGTTCCCAAACATAGATGACAGCCCCAGGCAGAAGAGCATAATGAAGAAGAGCACGGACCACAGTGGGGACACCGGCATCTTGGTGATGGCCTCGGTGAAGACGATGAAGGCCAGGCCTGTGCCCTCCACACCCTGCATGGATGACACACAGTCACCAGGGCCTCTGCCCCCCATGGACTCCCTCTCCTCCCTGCCCGAGGTTTTGTGCATCGCCAAGCCACGCAGCACGGGGCGGGCAGGTCTGAGTTGTCATGAAATAGCTAGATCTTATCTTTCAGGCCCAAAGTGTATTTTCAAAAGCTAAACTATGCATCACAACCAGCAAGTGGATCCCATCACCAAGCGGCACTCAGAGCCCCGTTCCGCCCACAGACGGCATCACCAAGCGGCACTCAGAGCCCCGTTCCGCCCACGGACGGGATCTCCCAACACATGGACCTTCTGAGACCTCACAGCCCACACAGCCCTGATCCAGTGCGGCTGAGCCGTGTACACGAGGTGTTACGTGAGTCGCCTGTTAATAAACGCATGCCCTGGACGTGCTCGGAAGTCAAGTGGCCGACGGCCGAGTTAGAGCAGGCTGTGCCCACAGACAGGCTCTTGGATAAGAACCACCAAGGTGCGGCCACCCTGAGGCCCCATGGTTGACCTTCTGCTCCTGTGTCTGGTCCCAGACCATCACCGAGAACCAGGCCCCGGCCCATCACGGTCCTGGTGATCAGCGGTCCTGGCTGTGGCATCTCGGGAGGAAAACCTCCACTCATGAGGCTGAGGGACCTGCCCAGCTCAGTGGGGCTCCCTGCAGGGTACTGGCTCAGGGATTGGAGGTGGGAGAACTCAAGGACCCACCCGAAGACAGGGTCCTTCATGGCCGCTTAACACATCTATGTGAGCTCCAGGGACAAGAGTAACCCCTTACACAGCAGGACATGGCTTGTGGAGGGCTCTGAAGGGTTTAAAGGAAATTGTCAGAAGCAGGCGGCAGCACGTGCATACAAGGCACGCTGCTCTTCAGTGCAGGGTGGGAGGTAGGAGGAGGTGGGAGGAGGTGCCAGGATGGGGGCGCCGACCTGTAGCAACTCTGGTGCTTCTCAGAATGGCACTGCCGAGGGCAGCCCTGCCAGAAGATCGCACACCATGGGGTTTCTTTCTGTGGCGTTTCTAGAAAAGGCAGGTGGGCAGAGCAGCAGAGGGGGTGCCTGGGGCTGCCGGGAGTGGGGAGCGACAGCAAACGGAAACCTTGCGGGCATGGACGGGGTGCTGCACATGGCTGTGCAAGGCACTGCCAATGAGTGAATTTCATGGTGCATAATTATACCTCGTTAAAGTTGCTTTTAAAAAAGACATTTAGACCAGGACGGCCCTGCTGGGTCCCTCCTGCCTGCACATCCTGCACTTGGAGGCCTCCGGCAGTTGGTGGAACAGGGTTGGGAGAGGCCGTGGAGCCCTCTGCCTGGCTCCAGCTGGCACGGAAATGACTCGCTCCGCCCAGCTTTCTCCCCGCGGCCACTGGAGTAGCAGCGCTGGGTCCTGAAGTGCCTGATGCCCGCAAAATATGGGGTGGTTCCCCAAAAGAAAACTGCGTAATTAAAATCAGCAAATGTCGACCTTTAATTGTAGCAGCATCTAAACTTCATTAACTATGGAAAGAGTATTCAAACGCGCTCATCACATAGAGTATCCTCAGTATCGGCGTGACTGAGATGTGCCAGCTGGTCCAAAATAAAACCTGTCCTGGTGGCCTCACAAGTTCGAAAACAGCTACACAAACTCTTTCAGTGTTGATAGAAGTTGTTACATTACAGATGGTCCCAGGGAGTGTTTTGTGTGTTTGATGGGAAAGAACGCAGGGGCAGCCCATGGTGTTCCCCGGCTCCTGCCTCTGAGCCTCTGCCTCTGAGTGTAACAGGAGCCTCAGAAGTGAAATCTCGTGGCCTGGCAGACACCAGCACCCCAGACGGAAGAGCCCTGGACACCAGGCAGAACAGACAATGGGAGCTGGGCCTCCCGGCAGAAGCTCAGCATCTGTGTCCTCCACAGGCCAGGGGCCCAGGGGTGGCCGGACTCTGAGGTGCCAGCAAGGGGTGTCCCCTCCCTGCCTCGAGCTCCGGAACGGGCCTACCTCCGAGAGGAAGGAGTTGATGTTGCAGGTCTGGAATGCCAGCTGTGCGTAGGCTGCGGGGTTGGAGGCGTTGCACTGCCGTTGCATCTCTGCAAAGTTCTCCTGGGTCACGTTACCTTCAGGCAGGTCGAACGCGTTGATGAGGGTCAGGATGTTCCTGTGGGTCAGATGGAGGCTGATGGCCAGCTGGGGCCAGGGAGGCCGGGAGGCTTCCTGGAGGCGCAGCCAAGGCACCTGGATGGTGGGACGGCCACTCACGTGCTGAAGCAGTCGTCATAGCGCTGTGTGGCGCGGAACCCGATGATGGAGTAGACCACAATGGCCGCGTACACTGAGGTGAAGCCATTGATGATGGACACGATCACCGAGTCCCTCTCGCAGTTGTTGCTGCAGACAAGACCAGTGTCATGGCGGCTGGCGATGAGGCCCCGGGTCAGGACACAGCACAGGGCAGCACCCACGTTCCGCCCAGAGCGCCAGCCCCAGGAGCGGGAGGCTGAGCCACTGAGTGACACAGGAAGGCAGCCGGAGCCCCTGCTCCACTCTGAGCAGGCTCAGGGGATGCAGAGGTGGCCCCAGGGCAGCGCCTGGTCCCCTGCTGACCTGGTCTCAGCTTAGGGGCTGCCCGGGGCTCTGACTGCTCCTGACTCCCCAAACCACTCTGGTTATAGAGCTCAGGTCTCTTCCCTCCCCGTCTCATGCCTGCGGTAACTTCCATCAGGCCTCTAGGGACAGCACCAGGCCAAAGACATCACACCCGCCCTCCCCAGCCCCCACCCTAGGCGTCCTGTCCAGTTGCTCGGCCGCTGAGACCTCACCATTTCCTAAAGGCACCCTGTGCTCAGTGTGTGCTGAACTCAAGTCCCAACTTCTCTGACCCAACCCAGCCAGTTCACTCCACCCTTCCTGTTTTGGCTGATGCTGACACCATCCTTCCAGATGCTTCCATCAAAAGCCGAATGTGTTAGCCTCAGGGAAATGCCAATCAAACTGCAGTGAGACCTCACCACATCTCTGCTGGGATGGCCAGAAACAAAAGTCAGATGATAACAAGTGTTGGTGAAGATATAGGGAAACTGGAGCTTCCTACACACTGGTGGGAATGTGAGTGGAGCAGCCACTGTGGAAAACAGCCTGACAGCTCCTCCAAGGACTGCACACAGAGGCCCATATGACACGGCAACTACACTCCTAGGTGCACACCCAGGAGAATGAAAGTGTGCATCCACAAAAATGCATACACAGGCTCATAGCAGCATCACTCACGATAGCCAAAATGTGGAAAATGTCCACAGATGGATGATGCACAAACCGTAGTCCACGCACACCATGAAATATTGCTGAGCCCTAAACAATAATGGCGCTCTGACGCCAACTGTGATGGGATGAGCCTTGAGGATGTCGTGCCCCATGCAAGGATCAGACATAAGGCTGTGGCAATGTGGCCACGCCATTCGCAGGAAATGTCCAGACCAGGCACAGCCACAGAGGCAGACAGCGCATCAGTGCTCACCCAGGGCGGGAGGACAGGGCACTGGGGAGCCGCTGCTCACATATGTGGGGCTTTTGCTGATTGGAATGCTCTAGAACTGGACAGTGGTGGTGACTGGCTTCACAACTCTGCGAATGTACTTAAGACCATTGAACTGGGCACTCCAAATGGGGGAATTGTGTGGTATACAAGTTTTCTGAATAAAGCTGTTATAAAAATAATTCACCCTCAGTTCCACCTCAGCCACTCCACAAAAAACCCTCAGTTCCACCTCAGCCGCTCCACCCAGTGCTCGCACAATGACTCCAGGGTCCTTCCTGTCCCTCCAACACCCTCTCTGCCCCCAACCCCATCCTGCACGTGCCTCCAAGTGCACCTCTCTCTGCACCCCAGCCCTCCCTGCCTGGGCTCTACACCTGCCAAGCCCCAACCATGCCCCAGCTATGCCCTCCCTGCCCAGCCCCGCCCCTCACACCCAGGCCCCACCCTCCCTGCCCAGGCCCTGCCCCCTTGCATTGAGGGTCCCCTGTGTCTGACTCCAATCGCACCTTCCCAGCCTAGAAGGCCACCCTGACCCCTAGGAGTCCTCCCTCACCCCCAGCCCCTTCTGCTCTGAAATTCTGGTCACCACACACAGGACAATTTCTGCGCTTGCTTGTCAACCTGCAGAGCCGCAGGTCACTGAGGGCGGGCCCTGATGCACCCAGTTGGGCATACAGTAGGAGCTTCATAAATGCGAGTGGAAATGAACTGACACCAGCTGTGCTCCTCCCAGATGCTGCTGGGGACTCCAGGGTATGCGCAGTGGCTATGTGGGGAAGGGGCAGTGGAAGGATCAGACCTTGGTCAGGGACGTGGAGGTCGTTGGGGGCGCCACATGTCTGGGCACCTGGGATGCCCAGGGGTGGGCTGGAAGCGATGTGGGCGTGGAGCAGGGAACTGGGGAGAGCACAGGAGAGGCCCGCACCAGGCTTGCGGAGGGACGGGTGTGGGGAAAGCTGCAGGCCGCGGGTTCCTGGCCGTCCTCGAAAGGAGACCTGCCCCTCCTCCACACGCTGTACTCTAGACTCAGCTCACATGGTCCCTAAGCAGGAGGGAACGGGCCCATCGGGGCAGGGAGGCCCCAGCCACACAGCCACAGAACACTTTCCACCTTGTCTTTTATCCTCCCAGCAAGATTCCCCCAGGACTGAGAGGGAAACTGAGGCCCGCCACGCCCGCACTCACTGCACGGAGTTGTAGCTGGAGAAGGAGATGAGGCCCCCGAAGGCCAGGGAGAAGGAGTAGAAGACCTGTGCACCCGCGTCCAGCCAGGTGACCGGGTTGGCCAGCTCCGTGACCTGCACCACATGGAGACCCTCAGCCACTCGCGGTGTGGGTGGGGCCATGGGGACCTGGGAGGGTGTGGTCCCAGGGAGGCTGGGGAGGGTCAAGGCTCTCAGGGTGGTCAGGACAGGCCACGGTCCCCCTGGGGTGGCAGCTAGTTCCTTCCCTGTGGGGGCTCCGTCAGCTCACAGGGGCAAAGCCACGCCCCCAGGAGCTGCCCCGGGCCCCAGGGACAGGCCTTGCCCTCGCTGGCCCTGTGGACCTCTTCAGGCCTGGGACTGGTCAGGCAGCAGGCTGCCTGTCCCCATGGGTGAGAGAGCTGGTATTGAGGCTGGCAGGGGCACAGGGCAGCCAGGCCTCTCCTGGGGTCTGGGCCCAGGGCAGCCTTGCGGACTCACGTTGGGGGTGAAGAGGAAGACGATGCCATTGGTAGCGCCCTTCAGCGTCAGGCCTCGGATGAGGAAGATGGTCAGGACGACATAGGGCAGCGTGGAGGTGATGTACACGGCCTGCGGGGGGGCACGGCATGTGGGATGGGCAGGGAGGGGGCCGGGCATGTGGGGG